TGATCGACATCCGGTCGTCGGGAGGAGCACCGAAGGATACCGCTGGTACGCTCTTTGAAGAGGGCCCAGCGCGTTACTTTGGCAGCTAAACTGGTTGCCAAGCGGTAGAGGAGCGATGGTCCCCCGAGGGTTGGTTCCCTGAGCGGTTTGCCACCACTGTAACCCTCAGACCGCCCGTGCTACTGCCCGAAGTAGTCCACGCCTGGCTGCCGCCAGGACGAACACTAGATTGCGGCAGAGGCAACGGAGCTCCGCCCCCCTGGAGGAAACGGAGACTGACCTGCAGCTCCGAGATGGTCATCTTCCCACAATGGGAACATGACTCATCCGCGAATGCCACCTCAGCGTGTTTAATGCCCAGACATGTGAGGCAGCGATCGTGACCATCCTTTTTATGCTCACGCTGTGATCAGCGGCAGCTGGATGCAATCATCGCATGCCAATGTGCATTGGCTCGTTTAGTTTACACTCGAAGTGGATTGGTCTCTCTAAGCGAGATCCCAATTCGTCGGTCACCGACGTGACTCGGAGTGACCGACTGAAACGGAACCGCAGTTCCTTTGAATTTAGTGAATTCAATTCAACATGATCATGTAAAGATTTTTTTTTCTTGATGCTCATTTTTTCGGTACTATTAATTCATTCAGAAATACATTTAAAATGCAGTTCATAAATACAGTGACTTGAATGCAGCTCTTCTGTGATTAGAATGCTTTTCATTTCTGAATGGTTTTCACTCTGAAGTAGTTTGGCATAGTCTATTATTTCTTATAAAAAATTATTTTATCAAAACTGCTTGACTGTTTACAGTATGAAACATAAAACAGGAAATGATATATCATTACTATGTGCCAAGGTTAATAAGTCTCTAAAATATCAGATAATTTGATCTTTGGTTTTAAAAAAAGTCACGTGGTGTGACTCCCCAAATACATAGTGATATTCATAAATTAATAATTAATGATATTTATATATCTTTATACACTTTTTACGTTGTAAAATAGACACTCTTATTTATGATTGACCCTCATTGACACTTTTGTTTGTCTGTATTCAGGCTGTAAGCCCTGGTCCAATGCCATGGAAATCCTGGATGAGAAAGATGGAATGGACACTGAGCTGTTGGTTTATGCCATGACCCTTATTAACAAGGTACCCGGACAGTATTATGGTTCAGAAATGTCAGACACTTTTAGCACACTCTCAGTTACATGGTGTTATATATGAATTTACTCAAAAAAAATTAAAATAAAAAGTTATATTATATTCTTATATATCTGTGGTGTTTCTGCAGACATTGGCTGTGCTTCCTGACCAGGACACGTTCTATGATGTGGTTGACAGTGTGGAGGAGCAGGACATGGAGGCCGTGGCCAAGAGACACGTCAACAGGAAGGGCACAGATTTGGACCTAGTGGAACAGTTCAATATCTATGAGGTTAGCGTGTGCTCAGTTTGCTTTTCAATTAGACACCGTCTGAATGATCTTGTTCAAAACTGATGATACTGAGGTCTAAATTCACACCAAGTCCAATGCAAATGAACAATAGGAAATTTAAAAATGTCAAATGTTTTTTTTTGTTTTTACAAAAAAGTTGACAAAACGTAGTCCTTGATTTGTAAAACTTTAACATAGATGTGATATTTGTTATTTGCTGTTAGTCTAATAATCATGTTTATCCATAGTCAACCCTTCGTCATGAAGATGGTGATGATGAGACACAGCCTCCTCCATCCGGACACAAAAGTCGGCGTCGGGCCAGCGTAGGGGCCACTCCTGAGAGGCGGGGTTTGGAACGTCGCCGCAGCCGAAGACACTCGCTCCAAAATGGGAAAGGCCACACTTCTGCTCCTTCTTCCCCCTGCCACAGCCACATGCCCAACATACTTCCCCTCAATGGCCAGAGGATAGACGATATCAGTGAAAGGTGAGAAAAGAGAAAGAGAGAAATAGAAGTTGACTTGAATAAATTATATTGTGTCTTCTACTACATTTAAAAGCAAGTGACAGAATCCTTTAAACAAGGATTTAACTGAAATTTCAGTTAAAATATCTTAAAAATTGTCGTCATGTAACTGGAAAACTATATATATATATATATATATATATATACTTAATTATTTGTTATATTTTATTTAATTATTAATGCAATGTATTACTATTATTGCTTACCAAAGTTTTTAAATGTAAAATAGTTTTGTAATATAACTTTCCAGTCAAAATATGATCTATAAAACAATGTATATTTAATTAAAACCAAATTGGTATGTGACTTGTTTTCAAATAATATACTCCATTGGCAGTGTTTTTATTTATTTATTTGGTTAGTTGTTTGTTTACTTGTTTCTTTATCTATTGTTAGACAGTTTATTATTTTAAACAATTGACAAATAAATCTTTTATTTTCTACTTTTGGATATTTTTTTACTGGGCAACTAAACAATATACAGATTATGAAAATGTGAAAACAAAAATATGACACTTTCAATTGTTGTCTTGTGAAATCTATGAAAAAGTGAAAGTGAAAATCCTACACTAAACCATTTTTTTTGCCCTCCCCTGACCACATATATTCGTTTTTAGCAACAAAACACTATGTGTAGTTCAGGATGTACTGATTTTTAAAGAACAGGAAGCAGTTTTATATTGGGTGTTCTATCATGATACTTTTGACATGAGAGTTTTTAAGTCCCAAAAGAAGATGGAGAATTTAATAATGCTCCGAGGGAGAGACTGGGAGCACTTGCTGGTCTACAGACATTCATATTAATCATATGCACACGAGGGAGGCGGTGGGAACCTGTGAGGCTGAGAGGAAATAGGAAGTTACTGAAATATGGAGTTTCGAGCCATGCATAATTCTCAGGGCTGTAGCACTACATGAGGTACTCGATCTTGTCCTTGCATTTTTTGTTGTAAATTATAATCATACACTGAATCCGTATCCTTTGAATGTTTCAAAGGACAAAGGTGAAGGCATAGATATCCAAACTGGGAATCACAGTAGTATATATGAAGCTAGTATAAAGCTTCATATGGTTTTTCTCTCATCCAGCGAGTCACTTGTAAGAAGGGACACGGTAAGGTCACGTCAGGCAGTGGAGAGAGAGAGTACAGGCCAGCTCAGCCGCTCTGTGTTATGTTGGGTGTATTCTGTGTCTCAAAGCAGATCTTACTATAGGTGATACTGAATTACGGTGCCCCGGAAAATTTACTCACCAGTGTGTGAGATTGGTCATCGCATTTGAGTAATAGAACTCGCTGTGTATCCTGTAATCAAGAGTAGAGATCTAATCAAGTTCTCCAGTGTTTTAGCATCATAAAATCGTTGTGAGAATAAAATATATAAGTAGAAATACAAACACAAATGGAAACAAGTAGAAAATATATTTTTAAGCCTCAAATTAGTTCATAAACTAAAATTAATTTGTATAATATATATAATTATATATATATATAATATAATTAATTCCTACATTTCTGATGTTAAAA